TTTGGGGTGATTAGCTGCGGGGGTGGGTTTCGGTGCGGGTGGGAGCCCCACTCTCAATGAGAGAAGAGAGGGATTGGTGGGGGGAGGTGCTGAAATGACTAGACCAATATGCCTCTAATGTCTTCTCACAAATTTGCCTGGTAGCGCTATAGGTTTACTACGCGCTCATTTAATCTCTGGAAAGTAGCTATTTAAATAAAGAAGTAAAATAAAGAAAACGGTAAGAGGCATGGGGGAGAGAGAATGAATGAATGCATGAATGAAAGTATGAGATTAAACATAGATATCCAGGCTTGGAGAGAAAGAAGTGGCAAGGGGCTAACTGAAGTCACTTAAAAAAAAAAAAAAAACTGGATTAAAGCACTCCTCTCTCTCTCTTCTCCTTCTCTCCCTTTTTCTATTTCTCTCACTCTCCCTTCTTCTGTTTTCTCTCTCCCAGACATGCTGGTAGCTAACATTCAGCATTAGTTGTCATGGTGACCATAAATCACATAAATCCAAAAATACCCACCTATAATCTGAGATGAAGCTTTTATTTCCCTAGCGAAATAATATTTTAAAAGCTGTCAGCTGACCAAAAAAAAAAAGGAACCCACCTCATTGTAGTAACCCAAGTAATATATTACTTCTAAAGGTTTAAATTAAAATGTCATCCTGTTAAAAACATGCTGGGAGAATCTTGGGCACTCTTCATATCAGATCCTCACAAAGAAGATCTTCATTCCTGATGATTCTTTAACACACACATACACAATTTTGCATGCACTGTCTTCTTTCATTAACTTCTTCCCTTTCCTCTCAAGGACTACCTTAGTCCTCACAGGCTCTATGCACTGGATTATAAAAGAAGAGTATTCTTGTAGAGCAGAAAGAAACCTGGGACAGAGCTGAGCCTTTTGGGACCTTGTGTGTTGCTCATTGGTTATTGATCATTTCCCCAAATGAAAGATGGAGGCTTTGTGGGTAAAGATGTTTGCAGATCCTCCATGCCGGGGGCAACCTATCAGGCTCAAGAAGAAAGGCAGAGAGGACTGGAGAGGGAAAGGTTGAGTAGTGAAGAACTGAGTTGGGTAGCTAGGTGCTGTGATTAAGTCTTCGCCTAGAAGTGGTAGGTATATTCTCCCATTTCTGCCTGTTTCTCCTCCAGGAGGAACTTCCAATTGGAGACTCTGGGGAGGGACATGCGGCTGCATTTGGGCCCTTTGTCTTCTACCTTGGGCTTGTTGTCTTTTGCCTATCTTGGATTACAGGGTATTCGCCTAGATGAAGAGCCATTAATTACCCATTCAGTCAATATTAGGAAGACGACAAAGCTTTTTACATAGGATTAAGAAGACATCAGATTGTTCCATTAGTATATTCCTGCTCACGAATAAGCTTTCCTTATACATTTCCTTTTCCCCGGAGTCGCTCTAACAACTGCTGCATACATTAACAGCGGGCGGTGTGGAATAACAGCCCAACCAGAAACTTTTGCGTAAGGAGTCAGTAGCGAGTTTCGCGACCTGTGAACACTGCTTTTGACAGCGGGGATCCACAAGGGATTGACGACATTTGGACAATCGGTACAGTTTCCCCGTTGGCCGGGAAAACCGCAAAGCAGAGAAACAGCTTCTGCCAAAAGCTTCAGATTGGATGTTGAGGTGATGGTGGTGATGTCCGGGTGGAGAAAAGAAAATGGAAAACTCTTCTCTCTACCCAGCTCTCCTACTTCACGGCATTTTCCTCAATCCTCATGCCTCCTTCAGTGAGCACTTGTCTCTTGTCCCCTAGCCACAGTAAGAGCCCTCCACATCTCCTTTCTGACAACTTAGGGTCCAGATCGCCACCCTAGCGCCACCATTTTGCTTTTTGCTAGAGACGATCTGAGCTGATCTCGCTGGTATCCGTATTAGCATTAAAGTCGCTTCATAACCACGAAGGAAAACCGGATTATTTGCTTTCAGGGGGAACATTAGGCGTCCACGTAGCACGTGCTAGGCAAACATTTGCTGATTGAATGGGGGGCAGAGGGGGGAGGCTGCGGCCACCGAGAAAGTCAGAGTTTACCCGGCTCCTCGGAAAGAGCCTGGGACCAAGCTGCCATAGAGTAAGGAGGTGTGTACCGCGCCTTGGGTATCCCAGGGGGCCTTGGAATTCCCCAACCTGGAGGAGAAAGTCTATGCACACCAGTCCATGGCACACTTTTAGCCCAGCCATTCTGCCAAAGCTATTTTAAAATTAATGGCTTCGCTGGGGGTGAGAGGCTGAGTGAAGTATCTGCCCCACATCAAAACGCAAGGCCAGGCTGGATTTCAGTCCTGATCCTAGAGCCACCACCCCTAAACTTTTGGAGTCATCCACAGGGAAACATCAGTCAGTCCTCTTCCTGAAGGTCAAGGCCATCTTATGAGTTCTGCAAAATGGGTTCCTTTGGGGCGGGGGGATGCCCATGGCAAGAAAAACCAAGAGCCCCTGTTCCACACCGACGTTCCCTTTCCGACACTTGCACCTTTCCGGGGAGTAACTAAAGTTACCAACTCTTCCTCACCACCCCCTCCCACAGCCATTCCTCTCTTAACCCTCAAGCCCTGGATTTCAAGGGACATTTTAGTCACCTTCACACCCCTTCCTCCGGTTTCTGAGTTTGAGCCTCGCTTGGGGTCCTCCCAATGGGCATCAAGAAGGGGACTTTCCCGGGCCCCTCAGAGGTCTACCCTGCCTCTTCAGGGCATTTGTAGTCTTCAAGGAGGGTATGGTGTGTACTTGTGGGGAAAGGAGAAGATAGTGCCAATAATAGAGTATCACGGCTTCAAAAGAAATCATATGCTGTTGTAATTTTTTTCTTTTTAAAATTATGGGAAGTAAATATTTTTTTTTTTTAAAGTGGGTTGGCCAGGAGTTTGCAGATTTCCTGAAACTTTATAATCAGTAAAGGGTACTTACTCTGGCAACCTTCAGAGATGCTATAGCTTTACCTACTCTCATGTGGCAGTTTTTCTTTACGGTTCCCTAAAAGCCAATAAAGTCAAAATTTTCCCCATTTCTTCCCATCACAAGCCTCTCCTTAATTAGTGGCACTAAACATATTTGGGCAGCAAATTTTCTCTTCTGACCATAAGGTAGAAAACAGACTTTTTGACAGTGTAGGGGGAAGAAACTTTCACGTGCACTAAAATAATCCAGGCCTGAAAATAGTGGTTAAGAAAACAATCGTTCATTATTTCTAGGTTTCCGATTTATTTTTGTTTGGTTTTAATTTTATTTATTTATTTTTGCTAATTATGGAAAGCGAATGCCCAGGGGCACCTGTGACCTGTGCGGGCAGGACTCTCGGCTTTCAGAGCTTACTGCCCATGTGAGAGGACCCTATCCCATTCTGGACTTCTCTTGGAAGGGGGTCCTTCTTCTCCCAGCTTGTAAGGAGGTCACCTGTCCTCAGAAGCCATTCCTCCGGTCAAACAGACCCGGGGTGGGGGGCAGGGGGGGAGGAGAGAGATTGAGTCTCCCTGACTAGAGTGCAAGAAACGTCAGCCTCTGCTAGGCGGCTGCCCGCCCGCCCCGTACGAAGCGAGACCTGGGAGCTCAGCTGATCTGTCCAGAGCCCGGGCTGCGCCTGCACAAAACATTCTCCCCGAGAGTCATCGCTGCTCTTGATTTTTAACCATATTCCAAACATTCTCCGGTCTAATAATTTATTTTTATGACCGATTATCAAACAGAAGAAGAATTTAACACAATCTTAATGACAGAAATCACCCGACATTATCTCTGCATTGCCCCCATTTAACCCCATGGGGTTAATCCCGGACAAGTGAGCGTTTAACTGGCCCAGCAGGACGACTGGAGATATTGCGCAGTGTAAGGACCAAGAAGCTTCAGCTCAGATCGCTTTAGACGTTGTATTTCAACAAGCGATGCTTTTTCTCCCCCCGCCCCCCCCCCCCCCCGGCCCTCCTCGGAAACACCGAGAAGCCTTTGTTTTCTCCGTAGGAATAGGGTTTGTTTACCTGACTGGAGTCCCAAATCGCCCCCCTCTGGCACACATTACATTTGTATCCTTACACTTTAATCCGGAAGGAGGGGGTTGGGGCGGAGGGCTGTGGGGGACTTTATCTCCTCACACTATCAAAGGTCAACAACCTATTAAGGCTAGGTACTTATTTATTACCGAGCCTGGAAAGCCCGGAGAACACTAAATTTAAGTTTGTAATATATTCCAAAAGAAAGTCCCCTTCTCCTCCTTAGACACACACATACACCTACACGCACATACAGACACAAAATTAAATGACAAATTTCAATTCAGCGAGGCACTGTACAGTGGGTTAGAGATATTTACAGCTTTTACACAGAGCCTACAGATTTTGCGCGACAATGTCCCTTGACTCGTCCTGGGCGAAATTAGCCAAACAACGACATCACCAGAACCAAGGCCTGGCAATCGGCACAAACAGGCAGGTTCGCGTCGTCAAGGGCGCACGCTCCATTCTACCCTCGGCTGTCGCGCACAGTGGCTGCCCTGAGGCTCTTCGGGGGCTGTTGTCAGAACCTCGACCCGCCGAGGCGAACCTTCGCCAACACAATTTTCCTGTGCTTGCCTCCCGCGATAAACTCCGCACCCACAAACCTGGGTGGGGCATGGCTGAAAGCCTCAGGGACCGGGTGGGCCCTGGTGGTTCTGCGCGCAGTGGGACACGACGAGCGACAGAGGTCGCTGTTGGACCACTTTTCCGCGCCAGCTAGAGGAGCCGAGGTGCGCTGGGGAGTGCGGAGAGGATCAGACCACAGGGGGAGAGGAGAGGGAGAGGTGTTGGGTCTCAGGAGTGCAGTATAATTTGGGGAAAGGAATTAACGTCCCTGGGAACGGCCGCTTCCCGTTCTAACCAGAAGCTAAGTGTCTAAATTCAAGCAGCCGCGGCGCCGGGTCTGGCGGCCTCGTCTGCTTGTGCTTCACCCGAGGCCCGGAGTCCCGGAGGCGGGTGCCCAGCTCGCGGCCTGAGCTTCCCTCCCGGCCTTACCATTGGCGCCGGGATGCTGCCGCGGGAAGAGCTTGCTGCTCGCTGCCTCTTTCCGGCTCTCGGGAGAGTCTGTGAACTCGACCTTTTTGATTTCGGAGTCTTTGGAGAAGAGACATTCAACGGCCGCCGGCTGCACGCCTGGGCCGCGCGCGCGCGCCCGCCCCACGTGCAGTGGAGAAGGACGCCAGGGACCGTGGCCCGAAGGAGCCCGGGGGTTGGGGGTGAGGGTGGGGAGCGAGGCAGGACGGAGGAGAAAGAGGGACAAAGAGCAAAGACCCAGTTAGAGAAAAGAGCGGACGGCATTCCCATCCCCCAGACCCTCTGGCAACCCAGAGAAGAGCGGCGTAGTTTCTCCGCGCCTTCCCAGCTGCCCGCGGCTCCAACCGGGAGACTGGGTCAGGGCCTTCCGCACGCAACAAGCTGCATCCTCTTTGCCCACCGCTCCCCAAAACTTCCCAAGGGAGACACTGTGGGCGCCCCGGTTCTGATTTTCTTCCTGCCTAGACGGGCCCCTCGGAAAATCGCCCCTCGCCGGGGCCTCGCTGCAGAGCCGGGGCCCACTCGCCGCCCTTGAGTGACGCGGTCTCCCGTCCACTGGCCCAGGACACTGGTCCACGGCCAGGAGAAAAGGATTCTTACCTAATTGCACACACGCCGACACTAGTTTTCGGCAGTTGGTCTCCATTCCCAGTTATCTGCAAAACAGAAGAGAAGGAGGGCTTTGAGAAGCGCGTTCGTCCAACTTACAAGGCTCAGAGGAGGCTACCTGTGTGGAGGTCAACGTCAATTCTAGCTGTTATGTGCCCATTAGGTACTGCGCTTCAAACATGTTTCTCGTACCTGTCAGTCTTTGGCTGCCCACAGCATCTCTAGCTCAGTCTGGTCCCTAAAACCTCCGCATATTTACCAGGAGCGCATCTATCTACCGAGCTGCAGGGAATGGGCCCCGGAGGCAAGAGGCCCATAAAGCCACAGAGTTAAGGGGACACTGTGTTGGAGAGCAACCTTCAGCACAATTTGGGAGCGAGTAGAGACGACTTTTCTCTTTTGGAAGGCCACCATTCAGCAGTGTTTGTCCATTAGTTGGAGCTCCATAAACATTTGCAGAACGTCAAAGCCAACTTGCTCCTGTCCCAGACAGCACTTTCCCTCCGTTTTCTACCTTCTGAGATGAAGGGACTTTTGGCCTGGGGTGTTCCAGGAGCAAGCTGACTTTGGGCCTCTCATCCACCAGGAGCCATTTTTTCCATATTTAGCCACACTTTTCCCTGGAGATACTCATCCGGCCATTTATTTACCCTAAAGTATGATTTAAGATCGCAGAGAAGAGAAACGGAGTGGACTTGGCGAAACCGAGGAGGGAGAGCAAGCGTTCCTGGAGAGTTTACTGCCCAGCAAGCACGGAGAAAGCCCTAGGGCAAACTGCCCCCCTAGTTCTTTCTTTTCCCCTTCAGGCAAGCCAAATCTTTCAAATTTCCAACCACAGCGCTTGGAGCCAAGCGTTTTAGCGTGCACCCCCTTCTTTGCCACAGGCAAACCAGGAGAAGTGGGCGGCGAGGGCTCCATCAAGTGGGCAACCGAGCATTTAAAAATCATGAAAAGAGGGGTCCTGGGCTCCCGAGGTATGCTGGCGGCAGGAAATCCCACTTTGCCAGGGGTTAGGGGTGGGAGCGGGCTTTGCGGGGCTGGCGGAGGGGCAGAGGCGGGGCAGGGAGTTGTGGGCCTACTTCTACCCTGTGTCTTTTTTCCTTGCTTCCTAGCCTCTCCCGGAGTGAGCCTGGCCCCAGGGGCCGCTGGCCAAGGTCGCTGCCTAGAGGAGGGGCTGCCCGGTGTGGTGGCGTGGGGATCGTGTGTGGGGTCCTCCTGGTGGTTCCCCCACCAGCTATTGAGCACTCGGGCGGGGACTCTGCGGATCCTTGTGGGCCTGTGGGCCCAGAAGTAGCAGTTTGGCGGCTCCAGATTTAGTGATTCTGCAGTAAAATCACAGGATTAGTCCCTGATTGAGATGTCTGTTCGTGAGATATTACAAAATTCATTATCACAGCTTTCTACTAACTCGATATGAAGTAACACAGATGGGATTTTATTAGTCCAGACTTCAAATGTTTACTTATGATAATTTCAGGGGAAATTTGCATGTCATCATCATTTCGATAATCTTTTTTTTTTTTTTTTTTATATGTCTGAACTGGCTGCATTATTAGCCGGTAGCCAGAGCATTGCAGATGGCAACTGCAAATAGTTTTTATTTTTTTTTTTTTTAAGGAATGAAATATACAAAAGAAAAAGATCTGGTCGCTGGGTGTAAAGTCAATTATTACACACTCTACGCCCCCCCACCCCCACCCCAGCCCTGTGCTTCAGTGTTGAAGACCAAACAAAGCAATACAAAAACAAATCTTCAAGAACTCATAGGGCTCCACTCTAAGGACTGAAAGGAAGGTCAAGGCATGTTCCTTAGCTCACTCCTACGTGTCCTTGTGACTTCAGGATTTATTTTGCAGTCAAAAAGCCCTGAGACCTGCATTTTATACTTTTTATAATGACCAGGCCTAATAGACAGATTCAGTCTATTTACTGGGGAAGAAAAATATTTAAAAGAGATTCCTGCCTGCTAATTCTTAAACTTGCCCTGTTAAGACAAGTCTGGTGTGACAAATTTCGCTTCCAGACTTTGGGACTGGCATCAATGGCTAGTCTCATAAATTGAGGATGTGGGACTTTTCCTGATGGGAAGTTATTTTCACCACGAAAGTTCATGTCTTGTTGGAATGTATATGCCAGGCAGTCTTGTTTTGACCAACTTGTGTTTTACATTGTGACCACACGAAAGAGCACCGCACAGCACCACACTGGCAAAGCAGACAGGCAGGCTCTAAGAAATATAACAGTTTGTTTAAAAATAATTTCTGTTGATCCACACAAGAATGCAATTGAAGGAAAAAAATGTAGTTCTAATAATTCTAAATACTTTTCATATTTCTCCCCTTTGCATTTACTTTGTTAATCCAGAACAAAATCTTTAATGGAAAGTTTAAAAATAAACAGGAGAACATGTGTTTTAAATGAACCAAATTGGTGTGATTAGCCAGTAAATTAATTTGCAGTGGGTAATCATTTAAGGAAATTAAAATACTGCTTAATACAGTTCCATATTTTACCATGTGTAAGCCTTTTAAAAACTAATATCGATGCTTTAGGAATATCTGGAGACAAACATGGCCAATTTAGGGGACAAAGCACCTAAATAATTTAAGTGCAATTTTGCTGAGGTAAAGTACAACATTCCATAAATGAGGTGGCTCTTTAATTTTTCCGGAATGTTTGATTATTGTAATCTTATTCTTATTTCATGTTACATCAACAAAAATCCTCAATTTTGCTCATGTGCTTTGTTTCTCTGACATTATTGGTACTTGAATTTTGATGGATTTCCTCCAAAATGGTATTTCATGTGATAAAACCATCTTTAGTTTTGATTAATGGGCTAAACGGAATGTAAGGACCTATCTCTAAAGCAGATTAATTTTTCATCATGATATTTTAGAATGTGAGTTCCTGTAATTTTATTTATAACAGTAAAAGTGTTATCCATTTAGTTTTTTATAATAAGACAATACTTGTACAAAGAGGGTAAAAAAAAGCACTCTATGATAGTCTGATTTCTAAATTGTTTCTTAAAGTAAGGTGATTAAACTGGAATAAAAGAACACATTTCTCGGGTTTAGAATCATATATTTTTCTTTAGACTCCAGTTGGATACTAGTTACCTCCCCTGCGTCCATTTAAAATGTATCTCCTGAAGTGCAAGATTGGAGTTGCCTGGTGATCAATTTAAAGGATTTATAATCCAAAGTAATTGTTCGAGCTTGGCATCTAGGCCTGGCTCCCAGGTAATTCGTTTGGGCCTGAGAGGTCACTAACTGCCAGTTAAGATGGAATCTCTTTTTCTAAAGTGTAATAATGGGAAGAAGGCTAATCTTCCAGTAGCTGAAACTTTGTACGAGGCCCTTTATCTTGAGAATGCTAATCCTCAGCCTGAGGATTTGTCCCTGCCGTGTTGGCACCGAGATTTCAGGGAAGATACCTCGTTTTAAATGCCAGCCATGGTCTGGCTTCCCACTCGACTTCAGCACCCCGTAGATTGCTAGTGTCTGTGACTGGGGACGAAAGAAACAAGGCTTTGCAAGGTCTTTTTGCCAACTGCCTTACCTCGGGGGAAACGCAGCCCCTAGAGCCACAAATCACCTACGGTGAAGATTCTCCAAAGTGGAACAAATTTCCAGACTTGCATTATCTCACATCCCTGCGGGGAGAGATGGCCTCCACTTACCGGCTACCGGGAGAAAGCTGCTGTCTCCGCGTCCCACCGCTTCCCAGGACGATTTCCAGAAAGAAGAGGCTCGGGCTGCACGGAAAGCGCCTGAAAGCAGGGCCCGGGAGGACTGCAGAGCTCCCGAGGGTGCTAAGTTCCGAGAGAGTCCACGAGTGCGCTGGGGGCCTCCGAAATCTAGCCGTCACTGGCAATTTCTTTCTGCTCCTCTCCGGCTTTCTCGCTCGGTCTCGCACTCTCTCTCCCCTCCCTCCCTCTTCATCCCTCTCTCTTCCCTCAGCTCCGACTCTGTGTGGGGAGTGACGTGACGTCAGCAGAGATTCCACCAAACTCCACAGCACAGTGGCGCGCGGGCGGGCGGGCGGGCGGCTGAACCCGGCTGTGCGGCGGGCGATCAAGGAGCGAGCACAGCGCTCCAGCGAGCGCGGGGGGGAGCGCCAGGGGCGACGCAAAGCAAGGCAGGGGAGGGAAAGGGAGGTCGGCGGGACGCAGAGTCCGGAGCAGGAGAAAGAGCCCGGAGGCCGAAAAGAGAAGGAGCCCGGCTGGGCGCTCCGACAGGAGCTGACTGTGCAGAAGGAGCACGCGCTCCCGCAGTGGAAAGGAGGACTAGAAGGGAGGGAGGATGGGATGGAGAAGAAAAAGGAATCTGCGCCAAACCGGGAGCCCTAATAAATCAGAGGGGGAGGGCCAGGGCGTGGGGAGACAGACACCTACTCCTGGGGGAGTAAATCAGGACTGCTTGGAAAGACGGGACAGGGAAGGTGGCCCACGAAATGGAACAAAGGACACTGTGCATGGGTTTGTTTGGGGCGAGGCGTGGGGAGTGTGTGTGACTGTGTTCGAATGTGACCTCCTTTTAGGCCTGCAGGGTTGGAGAAAGAGGTCGCAGCAATGAGAGGCCGAGTGGGGGAGGGAGTGAGAGACTGACAGAGGGCAGGAGTGGAGGTGAGTGGGTGGGGTGAGAAGGGATGACTAGGGAGAAATCTGGAAAAATGGGGTGAGTGAGGGAGAAGGTGTGTGTGTGTGGGGGGGGGGCAACAGCCGGGAGCAAAAGAGTTAGGTTAATAAGGGTAGGAAGGCCAGGACGCTTGGCTCAGTGTGACAGAGGCACCCCGCCTGAGGTCAAGGCAGTGGACCAGGAGCGCTCCGAGTGTCCCAGCGCAGGTAGGCACGGCCACGGACTGACCAGTGTTCACCAAAGAATCGCGCTGGACAAGGCTCGGACGCTCAAAGTCTAGAATTTCGTCTGCTGTACCTACACTCAACAAGTTCACCTCGGGTCACGGATATCTCATTTTTTAAAATGACGAGGTTAAGGTTCCTGGCGAGGATGGTATTAAATTGCACGGGATGGGGGAGGGGAAGAAAGAGGAAGCTTCCCTCAATTCCACATTTGCCCCTAAAAGCGAAGAGTGTGTAAAGTTTGAGGGGCCATTCTCAAACTCAAGTGTGCCCTACTTCTCAACCCTCATTTTCCGATTCCTTGACTCCAATAAGGGCGTGTATTTTGGTAGCATGCAGGATATTTTGGCTCAGTCCTGTCTTTGGGTGGAAGGACTATTAATAAGATTCCTGGAGGACCAGGTGCGAAGGCTTCTGACAGGCATATGGGACAAAGTTCTTTCAATCTCAAGGGCGTCCAGTTAATGTATGTTTTTGGAAAGTGTCAGAAACCAGCTATAGCTCTCGGGTTCGGGTTTTCCCATCATGGGAGCAAAACTGAGGCCCACCATTCAAGAGTCCTCCTCTTTGGTCCCCAATAGAGAATAAACCCTTTAAAAACTGCATTGCTCTTTTAAATCAATATACCAATTCACTCAATTTTAGGAAAATATAGACTTGTTGGGAGAACGTGCATGAAATATATACATTACAAAACGACTGACGTTTAAAACTAAGGGTGGGTTACCGCATAGTTGCAGATCTCTTCTTACATTAGAGGTTATCTAGAACATGTTTTGTATTTTCTTGAATTACTCCGTGTTTTGAATTCATCTGAGTTAGCAGTAAAAACAGGCAAACAAACTTGCTCAATTTGTTTTGAGTGCTAAATCCCTTCACTTTGAAATAGCTAACAGTCGACAGATGGACTCATTTTGTGGAAAGGGTTAGCCTCTTTAGCCACGAAGAAAACTGACGAGATCTACATTTAAAGCCATTTCTAACCTTCTCCTAACATCCATGAAAACTCAAACTTTCTGTTTTTACCCAGTGGAAACTCAAAGCAGCATTATTTAAGAGAAAAGTAATGAGAGGGAAAATACCCACATGCTATTTTAAATGTTTATTTCCTTCCTGCCTGACAATTTTATTTCTGCTTTCTGAAATATTTCTGAGGCAAGAAAATTAAATTCCTTCAACAAGCCTCACAACTGAAATCTAGTAGCAGCATACTGTAAAAGGTGGTTCGAGAACAGCATTTTCATCCCTTTCCTGGGCTATTTTTCCTGCCTGTCCCACCCTCCTGAGAAATGGGCCGATGTTTCCCCCTCTTTTTTTTTTTTTTTAATTCATTTTATAGAGATTAAGAGATGCTGGTAGCAGAACGGCCTTTCTTCAGCTGGTGGCGAGGATGAGAAATCTCACATGAAAGTGGGAAGAGTACGAAAATTAAAGACAGGAAGGCTCAGAAACGCGCAGGGACCTGGGGAAAGGGAAAGGAGCTGCGCTGCAGAGACGCGCAGGTCTGCGCGCGCAACTCCCTCCCCACTTTCAGGATTCAGAGGTTTGCAACCAGGGCTGGGATGATGGGGCTCCGGGAAGCTCACGTTCCCCTCGCCCCCCTTCTGTCTGGAGTCTCTCCCGCCCCGGCCTGGTTAACCCCAGGGCTGGCCGCTGCAGACACCGCGCTCAGAGCTTTTGGGTCCTCGCCTCGCCCAGCGCCAGTGCAGCTGAAGTGAGCAGCTGGTGGGAAATGCAAATGGCTCCTGGAGAAATAGAAGATACAGAATGATTCTCATTCCCTCCTCGAGTGTGTGGAAGGAGCTGGACATACGTTTCACGCTCCTAATCCTTCTTTTACATTTTTAGTCATACTCCTATTAAACAACTAATTAATGCCCAGAATCACCAGGGAATACATTAGGCATGCAGCGGAGAGGCAGGGTGCTGGGGGGGCTACAAACCACCGAGCTGATTTAAGACGTGGATTTCAGGTTTTTCCCTCGTCAAAGCAGTAATGGAAGAGTGGGCCATAGCGATTGTATTTAGATTCCGATTACTACTTCGAATTAGAAGGGGGTGGAGGGAGCGTCCAAGCAAAGCAAGCAATTCCCTGTCCTGCAGATGTAAACAAGATTGTAGCATCAAAGGTACGAGCTCCTTCAGGACCAGATCGCCAGGGCTGAAAGGCGGGGGGTGGGGAGACACTGACCTATGTATCTGTGAATTTCAGGGATGTTACACTTTCACATAAACAACTCCGGCGCGGATCCCCTGGTAATTCCTGGTAAACCCCACCCTCCTAGAATATCTTAAAAACATTTCCCCCAGAAACTTATATCCTTTGTATTTTATCAAAAAATTTGAACTATATCTGAAGATAATAGCCTTCCAGTAAACCAGTGCATTGGACCATTTCCTTCAGCCATTCCTTTTGACTTTTCCATGGTCCGATTTAATGAGGGTGGGGGCACAGAGAATTAAACTCTGGAAAACTAAGGACTGGAGGAGAAGTGCTGGCTACATGAGCTCAGAGAATTTTTAGAGAGCTTCTAAATGATATTACTCCCGACAATATTTTGAAGCAACTCACAGAGCTGTTAGAACAAGAATCAAAATGGGAAGCTCAGGGACAACAAAAATTTTGTGATCAAAAGAGGCAAAATCAAGGACAAATATGGGGTGACCTCAGCCAACTCCCTCTCACCCAGAAGTCAGGATTTGGGAAAGGTACAGTATTGTTTTAGAGTCCGCTGTGACGGGCTGCGTGCTACCATTTACTTTCTTCACTGTGGATTATGATCTCAACCCTGGCAAGCAATTTCCCTAGCTCCTTATCTGACAACAAGCGAGTATGTAAATACCAATGGCTAGCGATGTTTAACTGCCTCAAACATTATTGATTTGTTGGCTCCTCTAAATTTTCTTTCCAGTTCAGATCTTGTTTCCGAATTGTCTATTCTGGGCGTTTGATCTGTTCCTCCGATGCTACAATACAATAATTGTTTTTTTTTTTTTTAAAGGCGTTTAAGATGAACTGATTGATTTGCATATAAATTAAAATTACCATGCGTTGCCTATTCAGGTGTTTTATAATCATTTCGAAATTAGTACTTAACCACTTGAGCTAAAAGAATATATAAATGTCTGTATTGACTCACTAATGAATTACCTAATTAAAACGTCCGGGGGTATGCTGGGCGCTAAAAAGATGGTTAAATCAAGACATATAAAGGGAGGGATGAATATTGGAAGGGTAACTGACCAATATCTGGAACTCAGAAAGCAGTTTCCGTAAAATTCCTAGCTTTAATTTTGGAACACTGGTCTTCCTCCTCTGTTGTTTGTGCTTGTTTGTAAATAAATGAAGTGGAAGGAGCGCTCCGGTGGCCGCGGTCGCTCAGGCCCTTGGCTCTGATTGGGACCTTGCAGTTCTAATCCAGAAGCGCTAAAGTCTGAGACACTCTGGGCCAGCCCCGCAGGTCACCAGGCCAGGTTCCCCCTTTCCCCTTGTCCCACCACCTGGCTGGGAGAGCCAAAGCAGCGCGCTTTCTGCGCATTCTGCGAGCTGGAACCAGAGCCGACATTTAATAGATATGCTAACTGAGCACTTACCTTCGTCCTGAGAATAGGAATAAAAGGTAGCTCTTCTTAAGAGAGGCGGCGCAAAGGCACGCTATAGGAGTTCAGAAAAGGCTGGCGGCGGGAAATCTGTAGCCTGGGGGCTAGCCAACATCCCCTTTCATTTCAAGCACTTATTGATTTGCTGTTGTCATCTTTGGCGACGCAGAAGGACACTTGAAAGAATTTCTGATGGGGCTCTGATCTGAGAAAGGAGGTGACCTGCCCAAGCTCCCACCAAATTCTTAATTACCACATCAACTGCTTCTTCTTCTTCTTCTTCTTCTTTTTTTTTTTATCCCCCACCTCACCTCCTTCCCCAGTGGAAATCGAGTTTGCTTATTCTTAACTTTTTAATTATTCAGAAACTCCCTTACCTCTCAGTTGCTTCTTCTCGGCAGCAGTTTTCTATTCAAAACTCCCCACCCCCTTCTATGGTAGGGCCTGTATATTGATCCCTCTGACCTTTGGCACATCTGGGCCCTCTGAAATCTCTCAATCTTTTCAGATTTGAGGATGGAAGGCGCCACCCTCTTCACTATGTGCACACACTCAGAGATATGAAGACTTACAAAGACTGCCCTCAACCCCCAGCGATCCAGCAGATGTTCTCTTTAACGTTCCTCTCTGGAAATATGAAATGCCTGCCTGATTTCAACGTGGATATTATTCTTCTACCCTTCCTTTTTCCAAAGAAGTTTCAACATCTGGGCAAGTGTGCCCAAAACATCTCCACCCACATTGTTTACCAAATTGTAAATAAAGAGGAGCTAATACAGTAGATTGCTGTATAGATGGCATCAGGATTCAGAGTCCCTAATTTCAGGATTCTTCAATCATCTCTGGTTGTCATCTACATTGAGACAGTCATTCTAAGCAGGAGGCCCATCAGAACCTTTGTTGTAGGATAACAGGTCAAACCACAGTAAAAATAAAGCCACAGCAGAATAATGTCAGGTTCATTTCACCAGAATGCAGATTGTATTTCTGAGTTTTGTTTGAAATCACTGAGTTTTACTATGTGCAAAAATAAACAGGAAAAATGTCAACAGAGTTATTGGTATTAGAGAAGACAAATTCCTCGGCTCATTGATGAACAAAGAAGAACCTCAAACTCTATAACTTTTGGTGTTTTAACTTTAGTTTTAATTGCAGGAGTGAATAAGATATGAACTGCCTTACATATTTCATTTACATCTACCAGACTGAATTTCTATCAAAAAGAATTTCCTTTAATTTATTTTAACAAATTCAGAAAATGAAGCCATAGAGATAATTTGACCTGGGTAATCCTTTGAGTTGACCATTCCTGTAAGCTCAGGAATGTAATACTGTTCCCTTAGAGTCTTTTTGGACTATCTTGTAGGGCTTGCAAGTTCTTAACAGGCCTGACATCATTGCTTGGATCCATATTCATTATATGCAAATTCTATTACTCTGATGATTTTAAAATGGCTGTTCTGCCAGTATAATATTGACTTTCAAATAACAAAAATCTTTTGTTTCATATGCAAAATTCCCCTTTTTACTTCCTTTAGAACTTCCACTTCAATTGTTGCAAGTAATAATAGTTTTTATCATTATTTGCATTCTTTTTACATTTTTTGAAGAGTGGGTTGAATTTCAGACAAGACACCGTCATCACCATCACCACCACCAACAAATTTAAAAGCTAAATTCTTTCTTGTATAATAATTGGTACTTGGAATGTTTTGGACTTACTCAGTATCATCCTACAAATGTAGCTTGTAAACTTTTTGGAATTTCTACTGAGAGTCTGAAGGAACTGGAGCATTTTCTCTTTGGGAAGATCCCCTCTTTGACAGGCATTGGTTTCTGGAGGGTTGAACTAAGCAGTGAGAGCTGAAGTGGACTTTGGAGGTTGGTAGCCCCTTTAGCTGGAGCAAACCTGGGTTTAGTAAAGTGACTGTTGCAGTGGTCAGATCTTCCACTCTGCATTTCTCTTTAATTGGACGCTACTATGGAATCCAGAAGCACTTGGTATGTACATCCTCATCCTGGTCATGGTCTTCACCTTGTGATTTCACAGAAGGACTCTGGTTTGACGATGCTTTTAATCATAGTTCTCATACCTATTATCATGGCCTCAATGTTTGATGTCTTAGGTGAAAGTTGCTCTGTTAGTAAGTTGGAGAATATGAGTTTGGGACAAATAAGGACTCAGCAAAACTTAAATTCAAGGCTTAAATGGTTTTGACTGTAAAGTGTGGCAAGGCTTTCTGCTTCCCTAGCATTCTACTGTAAACTTCATGTGGATCATGAGAGAGAACCTCTGGCTAATGAGGTGTGATGTTGACTGGGTATTAGAAGGAGTATTTTTTGATAACAAAGTGAAGTCAGGAAACCTTATAGATACAATATGGATCTGGTAATTTGAATTAGTAATAATGGTAATAACTAATATTTATGGAGCACCTAGTTCATTTAGCCATTGTGCAAAACTTTTGTGTGTGTGTGTGTGTGTGTGTTGATCATCATATGTCTACCTAAATCAGCACTGTAAGATAGATACTGTCATTTTGCAAATTAGGGCAGTGAGGTTTGGGTGATTATGTCACTGGCTTAAGATCACCAGTTGCTAAGAACATAAGCTTGTAACTGCTAGAGTCCAGAGTGGGTACAAATTTACTCAGGTCACATAGTTGGTCAGTGGCACAGGGGGAATTTGAATCTAGATTTGCCTAATTTTAAAGACCCAGCTGTTAGCTAGCACACTAACCCAATGATGACCAGAAGTAGAAGGTCACTTCTGGGAGCAAGAAATAAGGAATTTCAACGTGGAACATTTCAAAAAACAAAAGGAAAATGCAGAGATGGGAATGATAAACACACTACCTAAGGAAAAGAGAAAATCAGACATGTTTTCAGAGCTAGAGATGAGGAAAGGAAGATTGACTGGGTGAAAGAGAGCAGAAAAAAAGCCAATTTCCAATATTTGTCCTGGGCAGTTCATTCCAAGAGAGAGAAAGGGAAGTTCAGGGATATTTCTGAGCCATAGGAAAATTAATGCTCTGATTGTCAGGTTGGCTTGAGCCTAATATAAGATCTCAGGAATTGAGTTTATAAGAACTTGTTCCCAAAGGTTCGAAAAAGAATAAAACCTCTGAATTGGATTTGAGTAGTTTTATCCTAGAACCAAAGAGAGATGAAAGAACTGAGTTATAAGAACATCTATGCTGCTGGAACATGCAAGTTGAGTGGGGAGTGAAATCTAGAAAAACCTGTTAGGAATCTGGCTATTGTGTTAAACTATGCCAAGCAAAGAAGAAATGAGTTTTTCACCTATCATTACCTACCTCTGTCTAGTTTGCATTTCTGCTACTATAATGAGGTCATTTGAAATTCTTTTTTTTTTTTGCATCACAATTCTTAATTACACATATAGAACAATTTTTCATACCTCTGTTTGTATATAAAATATGTTCACACCAATTCATGTCTGCATACATGTACTTTGGATATTTTAAATGAAATGACTTTTTGTGCTGAAGAAGAAATCCTGGGTAAGAGGCAAAGTCAAGAGACAGATGCAGAGAAAAAGATAATGATCCTGAGAACTCAGTCTGTGGAAAGCAGTGCTGGGCTAGGTCCTACATTGTTGGTAGAATGTTAAATAGGCAAGAACCCCAAATAGCCTTCCACAATATCTTTTTCACACAGGCCAGTGACTGGTCCCAAAGGTTATTCCCAATTCAAATTTGTCCCACTATTGAAAATGATCCAAAATTGGATCTACTTTGGCATTTTTGAGAAGAGATAGATAAATACAAATGTAGGAATGGTCTCTTAGTTTTAAATACCATAGGAGAAAAAGAATGGAAGTATTAATCTGCCGCAGCCTGGCTGGGCACAAATCACTGAGCCGCCACAAAGCACTTGTATGTTCAAACAGGAAACAATATATTGCCTGAACTCCAACAGCACTCCACGCACACTGCCCAGGAACTCTCCCAAACGCCACTCACGTGGCTCCTCTCCGGCACACCACACCAACCCGAAATCCCTCCATGGGAACTTCCCCAACCAACAGTGAACTCCCCAGGAAATCCCCGTGAGAACTCCAAAGTAGCGGACAGCAGGCCTCTATATACAATTGAATCAATCCAGCATCATCTTAATGGCTCGCCTCTCAACCATTACTTCTGGCAAAATGCCAGGGGCCATTCCGACTCTGCTGTGGCTCTCAACATCTCCCCCCTTCTGTTTAATTAAACAACAAGCTATGTGGCTTAGGGACCATGCCTGTTTTAGGTTGTTCAATACTACATATGGTCCTTACCCGTCATCGGATGAGCTGACTTCAAGGCGTCAGCCTCCTGTCTTAGGTTGGTACCATTGCAATTGGATCTTACCCATCATTGACTACCGGTCCAGCATACAGCCATACTTGTGAATAGGCCTTTGCACCAGTTGGGGGGGGGGGGCTGTGAGGTTCTTTGCCTCACCTCTGTTGGCCCCCAAATTTGGTCTTTGCACCAGTGTGGGGGGGTGAGGTTCTTTGCCTCACCTCTGGTGCAAAGGCCAAATTTGGGGGCCAACAGAGGTGAGGCAAAGAACCTCAAGCTCTCAACATTAATCCAGTTTTCTTTTTTTCTGGCAAAAATTCTCTCCTTTCTTTGTGCTACATATATATAAGGTGACATGGAAAAGTAGAGTCATATCAAGAGATAGGATGGGTGAGTTCATTTTAAGGGGAAACTCAACCTGTGCTGTCACAGGAATCCGCAATGGTCTCCTCCAGAATGCTGTGATATTTTTTAAAATAAAGTTTGAAGAATCAGAGAGCCTTATTTTCTGTCTTTACTTTGGTGCTTTTACAGAGTTTTTTTTTGTTGTTTTTTTTTTAAGATGAGAAAGAGAATTAGGATCCATAGAATAAAAGGTCACAAAAGGCCCTAGAGGGTAGCCTGTTCCCTCAGCCTATGCTTAAATTACTTCTGGAAAGACAGCTAGCTACCCTTTTCCAGAAAAGATTCTCTTAAGATCCCTTGATAATGCATTCTGATGGTTCACAATTTCATATCTACTCTGGATGTCTATCAACTGAACTCCGATTGCTGAAGAAATTGATGCTACACCAAACAGCTCTAATTAATGAAGGTCATGCTTTCCAGGGTCCTCCAAGTATTTCACATAATTTTCACTAAAAAAAGCTATTTAAAATTATTAGTCTTATTTAACAGATGGAAAACTGTGTCATAGAGACTTTTAGAGAACTATACTTGGTTTTGCAGTGAGACACAGGAGAACTAAATTAAAATCAAAGACAAAAATTCTATGTTCAGTGCCTCCCCCAGACACATCAGTTCTTTCTGCCAGAGGAAAGTGCCCATTTGATTATAACTCTGTCCTTCTGTTTGTCTGCCTGTGAGTAGTTTATGTTTTAATCCATCAATTTATCTCCTTGCTAGTTTCCTAATACACCATACATTAGCCAATGTTGATAAAATTTCACCCTTACTATGAGTGCTACTTGAGCAGACTTAGATGGTTGTCATATTTTTCAAATATCACATGGAACTAACAGTGCCGCTACTGTTTCAGTGTCACGATTTTGTTC